CAAGGAGACTTAGAAACATTACATTAAAAGAATGTCTGGTTGAGCTGGGGGTGTAAACTCCCCAGAAGGCGAGCAGCATCCCTAGAATAAGCTACCTGGGAGGTGCAGTTGGAGGTGTTCCAGCCCAGGGCTTGCGCCTGAGGTGGTGCAGCAGCTATTCCTACAACTGCTGGGAAAGAGGCGTAGCAGTGGGGAAAGCAAAGGTTCCCATACTTTCCACTTGCCCTCAACATGAGAGCATGAGAGAAAAATTTCCCCACAGAATCTACACAATGATTGGTATGCACACAAAAGTTCACTTCACCCATAATGCAGCCGAACCGCAGTACCCCCCCAACAAACAATGCTTTTAATAAAAATGACTCAGAAAGTCTTTATGGACTGACCTGAAGAGTTAATTACCATTTATTTAAAAAATTAATAAGTAGAGCGCTTCCATGGAAGATAAAATCCACGTTTTAAACAAATATGCTTAAACTTTGCAAACAATCCATTTGTTTAGAATGGAAGTCCACCAGATTTTATGTTGTCAGTTTAACCTTGAGGAATTTTTCAGGCAATGCAAAGAAAATCAGGAAGCATATGATAGTTGTCTTTTTTGGAAGGCAGGTCTATGATTAAATAAGCGTATTTTTTTTAAATAAATTTATTTATTTTTGGCTGTGTTGGGTCTGTTGCTGCGTGCGGGCTTTCTCTAGTTGCGGTGAGGGGGGCTACGTTTTGTTGCAGTGCGTGGGCTTCTCATTCCGGTGGCTTCTCTTGTTGCGGAGCACGGGCTCTAGGGGGTGTGGGCTTCAGTAGTTGTGGCGCACGGGCTCAGTAGTTGTGGCTCGCGGGCTCTAGAGCGCAGGCTCAGGAGTTGTGGCGCACGGGCTTAGTTGCTCCGCGGCATGTGGGATCTTCCCGGACTAGGGCTCGAACCCTTGTCCCCTGCACTGGCAGGAAGATTCTTAACCACTGCGCCACCAGGGAAGTCCTATATATTTTTTCACTCTTGTGGCCTCTCCCGTTGCAGAGCACAGGGTCCGGACGCGCAGGCTCAGCGGCCACGGCTCACGGGCCCAGCCGCTCCGCGGCACGTGGGATCTTCCCAGACCGGGGCACGAACCCGCGTCCCCTGCGTTGGCAGGCAGACTCTCAACCACTGCGCCACCAGGGAAGCCCAGGAAGATTCTTAACCACTGCACCATCAGGGAAGTCCCAATAAGAGTAGTTTAAGAGCAGGCTCCCAGCACCTGGTACATGCCATGGTGTTGCGACATCTGTAAGAGAACAGCAGCTGCAGGTTTGTAAATCTGCCAAACTCACCTGCTATCTGACCTCCAGATTGACATCAGATGGCGGTTTTCAGAACTATAAATCATTTTCTCTTCAAATTGGACTCTTTACCAAGCATTCCTCATCATCCAAATTGGGAAAAGATACCTGGTCTTCCACAAGTGACTATTAACAGAGCTGAAAAGCTGCTGTCTTACAGCCAAATGACTAAATCAATAAATGACTGCTGAATAAGTGGAGTTCTAGTGATTAAATCCATGATCACTTCTATGCAGTCTGCAGTGCTATCTTCGGCATTAAATAATCAATCCAATTATCTATAACTTAGGGTTAAATACACTTCATTTCCCTCTGATCTGATGGATGGGTACTTGAGCATGAAGCTTAAGTACTCAAACTAAACACTGGGGGTATAGTTCCGGCGCACTCTCGCTTCTAACACCAAACACTGTAAATTGTGCCGAAATCTCTGAGCTACTGGTGAAATCGTGTCCTACGTGGATGGTGTTACCATAATCCATTATTTTCTAAAGCTGTCAAATTTGAGCCCTTGAGCTGGAAAGGTTGCTGCACAAAAATGAAATCCAGTTGCATCTGGAAGCCTACACCTCTGTGGGAGTTCGAATCAGGTTGAGTGCAGTTCTGTGCTACACAAAACAGCTTTCCGTGCAGGAGGCGGGATATTAAATGCTTTCTGAACTTCATTAGTTACTCCTGCTGAGAGTGAAAAAAAGTCCGCATAAATGCATAAAAATTGAATTGCCTATGAGGTAAGGAATGAGGCGGTACTTTGCCGCCAAATATTATTTTCCGTTCAAATGCTTTACAATCACACATACAATGCAGAATCCGAGTACATACCTGCAAGGAAGGTGCCTAAAATCTAATGCCATCTCGATCTGGTTATAATCCCGATTTTCCTTCAGTTAACTCCCACTCTGTCCCCCAACCCCGCCCCAGATGGAACCCACAACTCCTTTCCAGGCCAGACAGACATGTGGCTCAGGCTGGCCCAGTCGGGGTGTCAGAGATGCTTAGCCTCAGTGGCTGAGCGAGAGGTGCATGGCCCAGGCAGAGAACCGAGCTGCAATCTGGGGTGGATGGGACTATTCAGAAAGGGGGAGGAACTCTTTTTTTCTCCCCTCTACCCTCCCTGAACTCAGGAGAAGGTGGGTCTGGGATTGAGGTCAGTCGTTCTGCCATCACACGCAATCTCTGAAGGAAGGCAACAGCAAGGAGAGAGACTAAAGCTGAAAGCTGGAGAGACGCTGATCCTGAGGACACTGCTTGGAGACCCACTAGCCAGCTGTACGTCTACATTTTCAGTTATATTAGCCAATAAATCCCACTTTTCTTCGATTTAGGTTTACTTTCATTTGCAATCAAAATAGTCCTAACTGGAGAACCATTTAAAGTGGAGAACCATTTAAATTTACATTTCAGTCTTGAAGAGGCTTATCTCATTCTACAGATAAGGAGGCACACTGAGAGGCAGGTAAGGGCCTTGCTGAGGTCCTCTGCTAGTCAGTAGTACAGCCGGGACTAGAAAAGTGATGTTTTCACTCTACCAGGGAGGAAATTAATGCATTGGACTTGCTTGGAACTTTAATTAAAACTTTGCTCTGATCAAAAGTTTACTTATTGGATATTGTTGTACTTTAAAAAAGAATTTATAAATTAATATTTTAAGTCATCTTTTGCATTGTTACCTAGGATATGGACTCGAAAATACATTGATAAACTAAATTTCTCAGTAATGCGCCTGTGGTCTGCTGAAGCAGCAATAGAAATAAGCCCAACGAAAATAGCTTAAAATGTTTTATTAAGTATATATAATATTACAGGGTAATATTTACAAAGTTATGTTTTTTAAATAAAAAAGTATCTTGGCAAAGATTGCAGATATTCAAAGCTTCAAACAGTGATAAATTGATTTAATACATATAAAAAAAACCTTTAACGGTAACACAGCTGTAAAACAACTTTGGTCTTTAAATCACTGCAAAAAATGGCTGACAAATAGCACACCTTTAATTGCTATGGAAGAAAGCCCCCAAGAGAGGATCTTGCACATAGCAACACTGGAGTTTTCTTTAGAATGGTTAATGGATATTTATATGGTGTGGGATCTAATTCTCAGCAATGGCTTTTTGTAAATAATGCTCCGTTTAATAAAAACAAAAATGCTTCCCTCTCTCACCAACCCTGACAACAACACTTTTAAGATTCCACTGATGTTGCCTTACAGAGAAGTTTATTACAAATGCTCTCTTTTTCAAAAGGCTAAATTTATGGAAAAGCTGGTCTTAAATGTTAAGAGCTGTCAAAAGCCAAAGGCAGGAAAACTTCCTGTTCACTGCTCATCTCTTAAAAGTTACCTGGATTATGCTTATTAGCCACAGAAAATGACTTAACAAAGGACCCCAGTGGGTGATGGCAGTTAGTGATTTTGAAAATATGACACATGTAAAACTAATGTTTTTAAACAAACTCTCCATCAAATGACACACAATAAAAAGATAAAGGGTTGCCCAACAATCATTTCTCTAGTTTCCACCAACGGGTAAATAAAAGGGGTATGCCATTCCATGCATACACCACAGATGTCGTTTTTGAATACCCATGTTAGGACAAGAGAAATCTAGGTGATATAGAGCTTAACTCATATTAATGAGAAGGAGGAATAAACTCACCACTTTTTAAGCTTTATTATAACTCAAACCACAATTTGGTTGGTCACTTACTAAACTGACTACAGCATCCTGAAAAGAGCAATACTCTCAACTATGGGATAGCCCCATTATTTTCATTCTGACATTCTCAGAAATTTTAACAGATTGGACCTGGGGTTTCCAGGTGAAAAAAATCATCACCTTTGAAGGTTTTCAGAGCATGTGAAATTTGTCTAAAAAGAAAACTCTCTAGCTCACCCTCTTACAAACACGGGGAAGTCTAAATACAGCCTGCTCTCAGTCATCAAACTTACGGAATGAGAGTCTAATGTATGTAAAACACTCCAGGAAGAGAAAGGAAGGAAAAAAAAAAAGCCTCTTGCTATGTATAGAAGAATTTTTTAATTGAACAAGAGGCAAGACAAAAACCCAACAAAGCTAGGCAGAGACACGTGAAGTAATAGGAAAGGTAAGTAAGAGATGAAAGAGGCAGCTGGACAGATAGGCACAGATCGCAAAGGAGAGCCAGTCAGGGAGGAAGGGCGGGAGGATGTTTTGAAGGAGAAAGAAATTTGATTTGGCTGAAAAAGTTGGAAAGGTTTGTTGCCAAAATGACAAATGGTGTCACTCTGAGAACATACAGTAAATAAAACTGGATGGAAGAGTCGATGGCAAAAATTGGGATCACTAAGTGAAAAAGCAGATTATGGGGGGAACAGATATATGATGTTCAAAACATTGTTAGCAACTTTAACTTGGTGTGACAGAAAACTTCCTGCCATTATAAGTCTAATTTAAAGAGAATGAACTGGCCCAGCGAGGCCCAAGTAAGAGGGATCCTGCTGCTGTGGTCCCTTTTCCAGAGACGCTGACAAGGAACAGCAAGGGTGGACTTCATCTGGCGTTTCTCCTGCTACCTCTGTGTGTTGTCTAGGGCAGTGAATGCCTCAAAAGACAGGCAGTGTTAAAGAGAACACAAAGGATGGATAAGTCCCAAGACTGAACCCCAAATAAATGAGAGCTGACTACATATTAAAGGTACAACTCTGGTTCATAAAAAAGTTTACTATAAAGATTTCAGACCTGACTTTTTCTTAATAGAGAATAGGAATTTGGATCTTTTTCAAGTCCAACTGCTTTTGCCCTCCTTTCATCAAAATTGATTTCTAAAGGAACAAACAACATTAGTGAAATATAAATATTTTCAGAAGGAAAAAGAGCAGAGGGAGCCACCAAATTTGTATAAAGGAATACAGCTCCCTCTACATATGAGAATATTTTGGACAGGAACACAATTAGGGAAGAACTTTTTTTTTTTCCTTTAAGAAGAGCTGTCTTCATAGTGTGTTCACTTTTCTGAGGCATCAGCAGGTTATAAATTTTGGTTTGCCACCGGCAAACCACTTGGTCCCAACGTAAAATATGACAAGTAATTTGGCATAAAAGAGGCACGTGGGAACATTCAGTGGACTAAGAAATAACTATTAATAATGCAACTACAAATATGAATGTCTTATTACACAAACAGGAAGAATAACTAGTATTTTTAGAGGGCATTGGTGAGCAGTCAAAAAGCTTGGCAAATTACCTAGAATTTTTAAAAGTTTTAAGTGATCAAATATTCACATCAAATATAAGTCCACCCAATAAAGATCTTTGTTTTTAAATGTTTTCACTAAAAGCATGAAATTAACATTTGCTCTCCTGTAGGTACCCCACTGTTGTCCATACAGAAGATACATGTGCCTATCTTATACATGAGCGCATACACACACACACCCACAAGGGAAGAAAATCTAATAATCTAAAAGTACTCCAGGCGATCACAACTGTCAGAATGTTAATTTTCTTCTAATGGGGGTAGGAAACGTGGGTTTCGTTTTACTTTTCAATCTTAGAGTAAGGTGAATATGAGGCAGGACTACAGGAGGAAGATGAGGGGTGTTTATCATGCAACACAGATACAACAGTAATAAAATCACCCGTTCAGGGTTGGCCTATTGGCCTGACGGTGACACACATTATGTTGCCATGCAGAAGACTCATAGTTCAAATCTCAATCTTGGTTTTTCATGCCCCAGATCAGAAAAGAAGCGAAGAAACACTGTAGATTGTGCCTTCAAATCCGAGGAAGGGAATACGTATGTTACAACCATCGCTATTTCTGCTGAAAAGTGTGAACAGAGTTCTCTGAGAATAAGTCTGGCTCCTTTCTGCAGTGATGCTACCGTGTCACTGGACCATGTTCAAAGAGGAGAAAAAGTGCTACATCTCATACAGCAGCAGAAGCAAATAACAGAAGGACAAGACAGGATGTAAAGGGTTGTGTGAAGAAAAGAAGAAAACATCCATCGGTAAAATTACCCTCAATCTGGAAAGGGTCTGGTACACTGTATGTTGAAGGAACAATGCGTGAGCGGCAACCCCCAAGAATGAAGACCATGATCCCCATCAGTATCACATCCCACGGATGTTCTCAACTGAATTCCTGTCTGTGCTTAATGTTATTCCCTTGACCTGGAAGTGGCAGACACATTATTCAGCTAACACTGTAATTGCCACAGTGGCTGTGAACCTGAGTTTTCTAAGGCTTGACGGAAGCCACTGTTTTCGTAGATAGCTCTGGGTAACCAGGTTAGTGTCAGGAAATTTTCACCTTGAACCAATGTGAACTGGTGACCTAGAGTCAAGAGGTCCCAGGATCTGAAAGGCATCATTCTTGGAAGTTGCCCACTCTACTTTGCCCCTAATTGAATAAAAATAACAACAGAAAACTGGATATCAATTGGGCACACAACACAGATCATAATTCTTTTATTAACTAAATGAAAAATGCTTTGAATAAAAACTTAACTGTAACAATCATTGAAAGGTCAATTATTTACTTTTTCCCATAGATGGAAACCAGTTACTTTTCTTGTTTTCTTCTCCAAAACAGTGAATCAAGGCCACGGTGCTTAAACACAAGTGTACTTCTTTCATGTCGTACTACTCTCCAAATCGGAGTCCATCACTTTGCTTCAGTTACTCTGGAAGATTGAAAAATGAACATATAATTGCTATGATGTCTATTTTCTATGCCTTAACAAGTTGCTGTATTTTAAAATTTGAAAATCGTTTCAGGTATATGGTATCTAAAAATAAAGAAAAATTATTTAAGCTTAGCTTTGCAAAGGTCACAGACATAAACCAGGCAAATCATTAGCCTTTTTAGTTGCAGTAAGTAAAAGGCCAATGCCAAATGGAAATAAAAACCAACAAAATCTGATAATCTCCGTTTGCGGGGTTGGCGGAGAAGCCAAGAGACATTGATTCTTCCAAAGCAGAAGATATTTATCCTAGAACAATATTCTATCACTTTTACTTTAGATCGACACCATTCATTTAAGGTAAGAGAATTAAACATGTGATTAGGTATAAGTGAAAGAGGAAATGGGACTGTGGTCCCAAGAGGGTACCTGGAACCTCACTCACCAACAAGGCAGTTACACTATGGGCATTGTGCACTGTCAGTAGGAAGAGCCCACCACAGACATTTGGGAAAAAAACCACAAATTCTGAACAGCTAAAAATTAGCAAAATTAAGGGAATTTCAAAGGTCATTATAGATTTCATGCGCTGTGAACACACAAAAACTGCTGTCTAACTTCTGATACCATGGTGCAAAAAAAGTCACATCTTAAAGGAAATTAACAAAGGAAGAGGCACTCAAGGTTCTCCTACTGGTTTTCTGAAAATGAAGAAACGTTTAGTTTTTTCATACAACTACAGAGGAATAACACCACAGTAGGAAAAGGAAAAAAAACAACGAAATTAAAACACCAGAATGCAAACACGGACAAACCATGCCACACTTTCAGGTACCAGTTCTTTTCTAAAATGCCATTTAATGTATTCCTGCTAATCATGGTATTTTTAGGAGGGCAGTGGTTAGCAGAGCATGCATTTTTTGTAATAAAGGCTGTGACACAAAATTACAAAAGTGGGATCATTCTGTGACTGCTTACTGAACACAGTCTAAGTATTGTTTTTAAACTTAGTCCACTAGACACAGTCAGCGTGTTTATAACCTTACGCAAAAATTAATTACACTCAGGGGAATATAGCCTCTTGAGATAAACGCTGCACTTCGCTGTAGAGGTGAGCAGACAGGTCACAGACTTTAAACAGTAAAATACGAAGCAGACTATTCACATGATCAAGGAATGATTGTAAATAGCAAAGGTATGAAGAAAGTTTTGATAAAATGAAAACATAGTTTTTAAAATGTTAACAGAACTAAAGTATCAGAACATGTTAAGGTAAAATCAAAATGAATGCTTACAGCACTCAATATCTCAGACTTACTTATCTTTAAGAACTAATAAATATAGGTCTTTGAAAGTCAATAAAAATTAGAAGTTATTAGCCCAGAGTCCCCCCTCCCAAGAGCTGAAGTGACTAAACATTTCTCTCTCTCTTTTTAAATCCTTTCCCAAAAGGTTAGAACCCAGTTCCTGCTTGGAAAAGCAGAGATATTAAGTATCCATGGGTTAAATGCAACAAAATCACACAAGCACAAAAGAAACCCTGTCAAGATGATAAAGATTTGTGCCAAATTATCTAAGTGTCGTATAAAAAGCATTTTGAAGTTACAGTCACCAGACACTGCATCTGAAAAATACCTTTTTTAAAAAAGAAGTAATTCCTCTCTGTTGTGAGCAATGAGACTGATGAGTCTGATTCGTGACACCCTACAGCTTTTATATTACTAGTTTTGCAACTTTTAACAGAGTAGATTGAAGTTTTAGAAACCAAGAAATGTAGGCCTTTATGATTTGACAGTGTCCCTTTTATTTAAAAAAAAGCCATACTTTCAAGAATCAATTTTATTTCTTTTCAATGTCCATATTTTAACCCACCTATAATTGTAGGTGCATTTTATACTTACCATCATTCATCATTCCTTTTGATTCTTTAAATGCTAAGAATTAGTAACAAGCCAAGCAGTTAGTAAGATTCCTCAATTAGAAATCATTTCTAGACAAACAAATATGCAGTAATATCATGCCAACTATTCCACAGCTATAAAGCCAAATTAATTTTAAGGTTATTATTTGATTACAAAAGGCTTTCTGTGGATCATACCCACAGGCTCCACAAAGGGACACAAAGTTGGGAATACAGATCTAGATTTAGGGAGAAAGAAAGTGAGATCTTCTGGTCTCACTCCAAGATGACAACCTGTGTCTTCCTGAAATCTATAATTAGAAATTGAAATTAACTGAGATTCTTCTCTACCGGGGGTGTTACATTTCACCTTGGCCAATTAAAAAGGCAACAGTCCCCTCACCCAGATATCACCTGGCTAGCACAAGCAACTGCTTGGAGAGACACAGAACAGTGCATTTTTCTCAGAGGTGAAAATGTTACAAAAGCAATACTCTTAATTCTTGATGAATAATCAAGAAAAGAGAGGTTAAGGCAATAAAAAAAACCAAGATTCTTCCCAAGGCATAGGTAGCATTCTAACTACTTTGGGGGCCAATTCAAATTATTATGAACTGGTAATGGATCAAGAAGAATTTATAAATTTGTAATAACCACATACCATTAAGGGGTTCCTCTACAGCTTTCTGGAAAATATTTAAAATACATTTACATAAAATAGAATTTATTTCATGTCCTTTTCTACTAAAATTTATATACGCTAACATTTAAACTATAGATAAACAGTGAATATATATAGTCAAAAACCAAAGTAAAGCAATAAAAGTTAGTTAGAAAAGCAAAGCTTGCCAAGTCTAGCTATTAGTTTTATAGTAACTGAATTATTCTCTTAATATTCTTTTTTTATGCAGAATTTCCCACCCCACCCTGCCTCTCTCAGTTCAAGAAATCCTAACTGAGAGGCACAAACACAGATAGCAACATAATAAATAATACAATTAAGCCAAAGATGAGAACAAAACAATCATTTTCAAGTCGCGCAAATTGAACTCAGTAACAGGGAAAGAAAAAGTGTTATGATTTAATGGTCTAATGGCTGGATTATGTCTAACAGAGGCACTTTTAAAACTTCTGGCTGTTTGTGACCAGTGTAGCTACGGCACCAATGTTTTTAGAGTGAACACCTGGGGTAAGGTGCAACCCCACTTCCCTCGCCTCTCAAGCACGTCTGTTGAGGCTTATCAGCTTTAGGGGTGTATGTAATCTCCACTTCCTGCCACAGACAGGAGTCTTGCTTTTGGCATTCCAGACAGAGCTATTATTAGTCCTTTATAGGAAGAGGAGTACAATACAGTCCTTTCAAGATCTTATTTCCATAAAGTAGCTCTAGTGCTTGTCACCAGGATGAGTCTCTATCTACAAACGTTTTTTTCATCCCCCCTCCCCTCAATAATCCCTCTCAGTTTATCTCCTAAATTTGCTCCTTTTCTTGGAATTTTCTCAGGTAGCTTATTAAGGTAGCCAAGATATAGTAAAAACTATAGTACAGTTTGCAGGAAGAAAAATGCTTATAAAATGGGGGAAGGAGGGAAATGAATCGATTCAGAACAGCTATTTTTCGGCCATATTTCCATTTACTTTATAGACTATCATTTTTAATGAAATCAACTTAATATAAACTTCTCTCCCTCATTTTTAAGCCTGAAATATCATTCTGTATATGCACATCAAATGGATCCAACAGGTGAGGCAATATATTGGAATCGGCTTCCTTCAGCAGATAACGACCATTATTCTTACACATAAACTTTTCAGTTCTGGGTGTGAGAAGACAGCACAATCTTAAGGAATCATTTATTTTATCCCATTGCCAGTAAATGACCAAACAGAAGTTTTAAAATAGATTGGATCTATCCATGCAAAGGTCATGAAATGACTTCAGTGTTCTCTTAATTTTATGTCACACCAAACAGAGAGGCAATGGGGTTCAATATCTCAATCACCATTCCTCAGACTAAACCATCAAGTGATCATACCCAATTCATTTAAGAAATTTTAACTTACCCTAGGAGGTTGTATAGTCTTGTGATTGGAAGCTGATGAAATTAAAAAATAAGAAAATGAATTTAATAAATGAAAGAAATTAATTAAGGCAACACTATGTTTAATTTTAAGATAAAATGTTCACGGCTAAAACTAAAGGTGCCAGAAACTCCACTGAAAGATTTCTGACTTTGACAGACTGTTAAAAAATACAGAATACTCTTGATTATATACATTGACAGAATAAAATGATGCAAATAATCCACCCCAATCAAATAACAAACACACACACTCTCTCATTTGTGCATGCCATATCTCCCCCCAAATCAGCCACTTGTTACACTTTGTGGTGGAAAAACTTTGGCATCGACTCAGCCCCTCTGTAGGCTCTACACCCCTGCCTACTTGACCCAGCTGGAATGTGGAAAGAATAGGGCAATGACCACTCCATCGCCCACCCTTAGCTCACTGCTCTCGTTCCCTGTAGCCCAGTCTTCCTTTTTTCTTCTTCCATCTTTCCAGTTTTCAAAGCTCCACCTAGCTAACAAACTAAAGAAAATATCAGATCTCTCTGAGTGTAGAGAATTATTCTAGGCAGCTAGTTTTAGCTACAATCAAGCCCTTCTCTGTGTCCCTTCTTAGCTTTTCAAGTTACCCTTCACTGCTGCTCAATGGATTGGTTAATGAAGATGAAGGAATACAGGGCATGAAGAACGTGACAAAAGGGAAAGGAACC